CCCCCAAAACCCCAAAACCCCAAAACCCCATATATATTCTGCCTTGTGGAGCCAATAATAATTAATTATTTTAACGTAACGAAATGAAGATCAGTGATAAAATTGATTTAATCAGAAATAACGAAGGTAAATGCTGCCACGAAGGCTACTCAACAACTTTGTTTAGTACAATTTGCCATTTGCTCAGTTTAGGATCTATAAAAGACAGTGGAATGTTTCTCAGAAGCACAGGTGGTCAATTACGTAAATGACGTAAATGTTGTCCACTCCTTTTTGTTGAGCTTTTTTCATTTTAATCCCAAAAACTAAGCCTCTTTGTAAGGCTTAATTTTGATTAGATCATTTATGCTGAATCTATTTTTGAATATCTTTCAATTATTTGCCGAGTAGAAATGCTCTTCCATTAGGAAAAGACTAAACACTCCTTTTAGCAACTAAAGACAATGTATTATACTCATTTGAGTACTTTCCCCCATTGACAGACAAAGGAATTGAGAAGCTGTATGATAGGATTGAAAGAATGTCTTCTATCAATCCCCTGTGGATTGATGTTACTTGGAGAGGAGGCTCTACTTCTCAAATCACACTTGAGATGTGCCAACATGCTCAGATGTTCACAGGTCTCGATGTCATGATGCATTTAACCTGCACAAACATGACAAAAGCTGATCTAGACAATGCTCTGAATAAGTGTCAAGAGTATGGAGTAAGAAACATTCTTGCTCTCAGAGGAGATCCACCTAAAGAAGGAGAGGAATTAGTTAATGACTGCCATCTCGAGTATGGAGTCGACCTTATCAAGTATATTAAAGAAAACTATGGAGACTACTTCTGCATCGGTGTTGCAGGATACCCGGAAACACATCTTGAAGCAACTTCTCCAGAAGATGATCTCAAGTATTTGAAGGATAAAATTGATGCAGGAGGTGACCTCATAATCACTCAGCTGTTCTATGATAATGAAGCCTTCTTTGAGTACGAAAGCAAATGCAGAGATCTCGGCATCACTGTTCCTATTATTCCAGGTCTTTTGCCAATTGTTTCCTATTCAGGATTCCAGAGAATGACAACTCTTTGCCAAACAAGAGTACCCAAGTCAATATCTGATAGATTGGAGGAAGTCAAGCATGATGATTCTAAGGTCAAAGAATTTGGAGTAGACCTTACAGTTGAGATGTGCCAGGAGCTTATGGAGAAAGGTGTCAAATTCTTGCATTTCTACACTCTAAATCTCGAAAAATCTGTCGTTGATACTGTCATGAAGCTTGGAATAATGAAAAAGAAGAAAAGCCTTCCTTGGAAAAAGCCATCATTCAAAGATAGATCGGAGGAAAGTGTAAGACCTATCTTTTGGGCCAATAAGCCCAAATCTTACATTGCAAGGACTAAAGATTGGGATGAGTTCCCAAATGGAAGATGGGGTGTTTCTCGTTCTCCAGCCTTCGGAGATATGGGTGAATATCCTTCTATGTCAAAGCTTTATAAGAAGAGCACTAAGCAACTTAAGAAGCTCTGGGGAGAAGAATACAACACTGAAAGAGAGATTGGAAACCTCATTATTAGCTACATCAAGGGCAATACCAAGAGACTTCCTTGGTGAGAAGAAAAGATTCAGGATGAGACATCTACCATCAGTGAGTACATTGAGAAGCTAAATACCAACTATCTTTTCACTGTCAACTCGCAGCCAAAATGTAATTCCGTACCTTCTCATGACTCAGTCTTTGGATGGGGTCCAGATGGAGGATACGTTTACCAAAAAGAATATATTGAATTCCTGATTCCTAAATTCTTGGTCGAACCACTCAAGACCTTCCTCGAATCTTACAGAAATATATCCTACCAAGGAGTAAACTCAAGTAGAGATGAATTCAGTAATGTCGCCTCTGACAGTGTTAACGCAGTCACATGGGGAGTATTCCCTGGACAAGAAGTTGCTCAGCCTACCGTGGTTGATCACACTGCCTTCTACCTCTGGTCTGAAGAGCTATTCCAACATATCAAGGAAGAGTGGATCCCGTTATACGAGAAGGAATCCAAGACTAGTGAAGTTCTAACAAGCCTTCATGATAACTACTACCTTGTGAATATCGTCGATAATGACTTTGTGAACGGAGATTTACAAGAAGTCATTGAAAAGTTCATTAGTGAGAACCTTGAGGCTATTAATAGCTATGAAGAATAAATAAACCCGATTTAATTTAATGTTTCTCAATAACTACCACTGTCACAGGGGTTTTGGGGTTTTGGGGTTTTGGGGTTTTGGGG